GATGATAATCTTACACTCAGGCTTAGGGACTATGGTGATAATCTTACACTCAGGACCTAAGCCCAATCAGGTCAATCTTACACTCAGATCATTACTCGACTGCTGAAGTTTAACATTATAAGTATAAAAAAGCTGAGAAGAATTAGAACACTCATTTATACACACGCGGGACACCAGGGGCTACACACCTGGTGTTCACAGCACAGTGTGGGCAGGAACACAGGCAACAAGTACACACGCCGAGCTCTCTCGCGCCCCCTGGAGGATGACGCAATCTGGGGCTATTAGTGCCTACCCATCCCCTCCTTCCTTCCTATCCTCCTCTACCCTCCTTTTACTTCAATCTTTATTTCCCACCTTCTTCCTTATATTTTCTAAATTTCTTCGTCATGCCTATCCATCCAACCCCCCCCCCCCCCCCGCCAACACTCTATACTGTGTGACGATAATCTCCTTCAAGAGATTGAGCCTGCTCTTCCCTCCCAAGTTCGTCGCTATATACATCCCTATACAACTAATATGGAAGAAATATCCAACACATACAACACCAAGGTTTGCCAGAGCGCAAACGTATGCAGCCAGGAACACCTGCTCCACCTCGAACCACCAAACTACCTGTCTGTCGCCTGCTCATCGCTGATTGGCTGCGTGTCCAGTTGCACCTGCCCTCCACCCGCCACACTACCTGATGTCTGGGGCCACACGACCTACCGATCTCAGAATATCCAGTGCTTTCAACAAGTTAACACGTCTCGTTAGTAGACTAAGCTCTGGCTTACGTGTACTAAGAGAGGTGACAGCTTAAAGCCAATATTCCGGCATCCATATTTACATTGTTTGTTATACACTTGTTATTACTCACTTGTCTTAACGTAACTTTTCATTTTGTCATTTTATTATTCTTATTATTTTGATTGATTGATTTTATGATACGAATTTGTATGTCCATTTTATTCATGTTTTGCTTTTCTAACGTAATTAAAATCTCATTGTTAAATTTACTTGTGTTTTGTGTGTCTTCCCATTACCTTACCACAGACGAAGTTCCAGATTTTCTATTTTTTGTTTCTGTATGTGACGAGGCCATACCCCTAGCTTTTGAACAGCCGAACACCAACGCGTTACCGTCACAACTGCCTTTCCTTTCTCTCTTCGCTGCAATTCTATTCCACTTCCACTTTTATATCTCCTCCCGTTCCCTTTTCTTCTTTCCTTCTTTTTTCTCTACTTCCTCCCCTTCCATAACTCCCCCCTAATAACACTAATATCATAAACCCAAGGCAGTAAGGAGTCACGGAGACCAGCGACCAAACGCCACCTGGCGACCACTGGACTAGAAGCGACCAGACGCCACCTGGCGACCACTGGACTAGAAGCGACCAGACGCCACCTGGCGACCACTGGACTAGAAGCGACCAGACGCCACCTGGCGACCACTGGACTAGAAGCGACCAGACGCCACCTGGCGACCACTGGACTAGAAGCGACCAGACGCCACCTGGCGACCACTGGACTAGAAGCGACCAGACGCCACCTGGCGACCACTGGACTAGACCGACACATCAACAAACAACAAACAACAAACAAGACCACTGGAGCAACAAGCAGAGAGTCTGAAGGCGGTAACGGAAGGCGTCATCCAGGGAAGAACAGCAACAAGTGACGGTGGAATTAAGATGTTATTTTGTGCATGATGCACTGCCTTCCGTGGGGGTGGGGGGGGGGGGGGGGCAGTGGGGGGGTGGGGTGGGGTGGGGATCTGTGGTGGGTGGAACTGTGGTGGGGGAACTGTGGTGGGTGGTGGGGAGTTGTGTGGTGGTGACAATGATTGTGCTCACCATACTGTCCTGGGGGGATGGGAGTCAGTTTCAGCTTGGTCCTGCCTGTTAGTCCTCACCCAACTGGTGTACACTGTACAGGTCCCAGAACTATTGGCTTGTGTTATATTAACATATGTTGTTGTGTACGGAGTCTGCCTCCAGCACCCCGCTCTCTCCTTCACTTCACTTACTCACTATTTGTACTATGAAATAACTATTCACAACATCTCTGTGGCTCTTTCAGTTCTTCATCTCCACTTGTGTTTCATTGTCCGTGTACCAATCACCCCGCGTAATCTATACTTGTTTCGCCCTGTCAACTTCTGAGGATTTTACATGTTGTAATCATGTATCCACTAGCTATGGTTGTAACTCGTATCTCTCAGTTCTGTGACTAGTCTGGTGGCATTGATCTAAGTTTCTCTAGCTTTGTTTTGTCTTTGGCAAGATAATGACTTATCAATGACGCCGTCAAATCTCAAATTGGTCTGAGATACATTGTAATGGTTGTTGTATTGGTGGGGAGGGGGGGGCGGTTGTGGAGGAGCGGGTCACTCCACTTACCTAATAGTGAATACGAGGGCAAGGGAAGGGAGCTACCAGGAGAAAGCGCCAAACCATTACGACTATATAGCAGTGGGAAGGGGTCAGGAAAAGGATTTGGGATGGGACGGGGGGAAAGGAATGGTGCCAAACCACTTGGACGGTCGAGGATTGAACGCCGACCTGCATGAAGCCAGGCCGTCGCTCTACCGTCCTGTCCAAGTGGTTGTGCATGTAAACACTACGAGGAAAGTGCTTAGTGGCGCGCCTCGCGTGTTCATAATAAGACACTCTGCCCACCTGTCAGTCAACCGTCTCAATGACAGTATTTTCATGTTGCAGGAGCGGAGGATGCTGGCAATACCTGGTGATGGGTAAGCTGGCTACGGTGATGGGTAAGCTGGCTACGGTGATGGGTAAGCTGGCTACGGTGATGGGTAAGCTGACTACGGTGATGGGTAAACTGTATATCAACAAGGTGGAGGGAGAGAGGGTGAGGACGCCAGGGAGAGTGCGGGGCAGCAGGGCGGTACTGGTAGTGGTGGTGCTGCTGTTATTGCCGTCACTGGTGTATTGGTCGTCCACCCAGTACCTGTCCCTCACGCCCTTCTCCTCCCTGCTCCCCGCCCACAACCACGACACCGCCCACAGCCACGACACCGCCCACAGCCACGACACCGCCCACAGCCACGACACCGCCCACTCTGGCGCTCAAGGCCAAGCGACCCCAAAACAAGAGCAGCAGCACCACCACAACACTACTACCTACAACTATAATTTCATCCACCTCACTGTCAACAACCACACTTCCAACCACACCACCTCCAGCAACACCACCACCAACCACACCACCTCCAGCAACACCACCACCAACCACACCACCTCCAGCAACAACGCTGCCAACCATACCACCAGGAACCTCGCCGTCATCGACCACACGGAGAGTGATGTACATGTTAACGGTAAGTTATTCTACCAATACTCAAGAGATTAACTATTAATTAATCTGTCACTGTAACGAAGAGAGAGAGAGAGAGAGAGAGAGAGAGAGAGAGAGAGAGAGAGAGAGAGAGAGAGAGAGAGAGAGAGAGAGAGAGAGAGAGAGAACTAGTGATTTATGAGGTAATAACAGGAAGAGAGCTCTGCAACAGCAGATTATAATATGCAAGTGACAGAGAGGCTCCTGGGTGTACAACACCCTCCCACCTCCTGTGGGAGGGGAGGGCGGTGACCTATGTTGTCACACCTGTTACACCTGCAACTGTTACCTCACCAAGGTTCACCTGTCATAAAGCACCTGTGAGGAAGACTAATGACTGACCTCTTAATTATGTGTTAGTTATAATGGGGACTCGAAGCGAGCCATGTAAACTGTTCACATCTACTTTATGAGAAAATATTGCGGCCCTGCCATTGGACCTTCAACTCTCGGTCACGAGACATCGGGTATATACGTAACACCTTGCGAAACCTGTACATCTTTCCCCTCAATCGTGGTAGCTTTGTTTACATTTATTAAACAGGTCTATGAGATTCGGAACTTCACAACCCAGAATTATTATTCCTTTAAACGACCTTGTAGTGCTTAGCTAATAAACGGTTTAAGGAATGAAAGCCCCCACAAACAAAGTCCCCACAAACAAAGCCCTCACAAACAAAGCCCCCACAAACAAAGTCCCCACAAACAAAGCCCCCACAAACAAAGTCCCCACAAACAAAGCCCTCACAAACAAAGCCCTCACAAACAAAGCCCCCACAAACAAAGCCCTCACAAACAAAGCCCTCACAAACAAAGCCCCCACAAACAAAGTCCCCACAAACAAAGCCCCCACAAACAAAGTCCCCACAAACAAAGCCCTCACAAACAAAGCCCTCACAAACAAAGCCCCCACAAACAAAGCCCCCACAAACAAAGCCCCCACAAACAAAGCCCCCACAAACAAAGCCCTCACAAACAAAGCCCCCACAAACAAAGCCCTCACAAACAAAGCCCTCACAAACAAAGCCCTCACAAACAAAGCCCCCACAAACAAAGCCCCCACAAACAAAGCCCTCACAAACAAAGCCCCCACAAACAAAGCCCTCACAAACAAAGCCCTCACAAACAAAGCCCTCACAAACAAAGCCCCCACAAACAAAGCCCCCACAAACAAAGCCCTCACAAACAAAGCCCTCACAAACAAAGCCCCCACAAACAAAGCCCTCACAAACAAAGCCCTCACAAACAAAGCCCTCACAAACAAAGCCCTCACAAACAAAGCCCTCACAAACAAAGTCCCCACAAACAAAGCCCCCACAAACAAAGCCCCCACAAACAAAGCCCTCACAAACAAAGCCCTCACAAACAAAGTCCCCACAAACAAAGCCCTCACAAACAAAGCCCTCACAAACAAAGCCCCCACAAACAAAGCCCCCACAAAGCCCCCACAAACAAAGTCCCCACAAACAAAGTCCCCACAAACAAAGCCCCCACAAACAAAGCCCCCACAAACAAAGCCCTCACAAACAAAGCCCTCACAAACAAAGCCCTCACAAACAAAGTTCCCACAAACAAAGTCCCCACAAACAAAGTCCCCACAAACAAAGCCCTCACAAACAAAGCCCCCACAAACAAAGCCCTCACAAACAAAGTCCCCACAAACAAAGCCCTCAAATACAAAGCCCCCACAAACAAAGCCCCCACAAACAAAGCCCTCACAAACAAAGCCTTCACAAACAAAGCCCCCCCATGATTGAGGAAAGATGTACGGGTTTCGTAAGTGGTTGCGGAAATACTTGATATAGTATGTATGACAATGAAACAGTGAAAGAAAAATGGTGACTGCTGAAGGGCGTCGTGGAGTCATCATAGTATAGTGAGCCGGTACAGTACCACTACATGAAGGGAAATATTAAACTACTGAAGCATATGGACGTATGCAAGTCCTTAAGTGGGACTCAAGGTGAGGTGGTCCATGACCTGTGAGGAGAACTCAAGAGGACCAGAGAAAGGAAGAGGATCAGGTAAAGGGATCTAGACTATTATTACCTGAATAAGGAGATCACCCCACAAACTATCTTTAATTAAAATAGGTTAATGAAAGTAGAGATTAGGGCAGAACATTAAAAAAGAATAGTATAAAAAAGCCGTTGCTGAGACACAGCAACCCTCCCCTGTCCCCCCCCCCCCCCTGTTCTCCGGACCATTCCCCCCTCCCCCGTCCCCTCGTCCTTCCCACCATTCCCCACTCCCTCGTCCGATGCATTCCCAAATGATCTGATGTTCCCATCAGAAAATTGGGAACATCAAATGATCTGATGTTCCTATCACTGAAATATAAGTAAAACAGTTAAAAAATGAAATGAAAGACAATAAAAAAATAACAAAATAAACTATACTCACGAAATGAACGAAATGGTAAACAGCTCAGCTCAATTCCAACACAATGTCACACAAAATAGTTAAGTCAAACTGCAAATAAATCGAATTCTATGAAAATTCAATTTGTCAATGCAATCAGAAGCATTGAACTGAAATTGTAACATAGTATTGCGTGTGTTGCTCTTACGTGCAACAGATGGCGCTGTTTCTTAAAAAAGTATGCTTTTACCTATCCTAAATTTACCTTTCCTAGTTTTTACCTATTTTACCTAAACAGGCGCGTATTCGAATGGAACGTTGTGTCAAAATTTCAAAGCAAACGGAAAAGAACTTTCGGAGATTAACGATTTTGAACAAACGAACATTTACACTTATATATATATATATATATATATATATATATATATATATATATATATATATATATATATATATATATATATATATATATATATATTTATTTATTTGTTTATTTATTTTAGCATCAGAAAACTATTTCCCCCGCGAAGGATTCGAACCCAGACAGCCAGGAACTCCATGACCCTTCACGCTGGGAACACGCGAGTATCATTTGTGCGTCAAGTCGACCGCCAACTTAAGTTATGAAGAACTCTCCAGCCGCCAGGCAGAACGCCTTAAGAGAGCCCAACAGCATAATCTGGATATGAAAGTAAAATTTTGGCTGGACGAGATGGCACTCTTACTGGTGGAGGCTGAGGGCGGTGAAGCAGGAGACTTGGGTCCACCTGGAGGTGACGTAGACAAAGGGGCTGAGGAGAAGTGGGAACCATCACAAGAAGGAAGGACGAGGGGGGGATGAGTGGGATGAGGGGGAAGTGTGGAAGGTCATATTAAAGGACATTTCCACTTTGGAATGGGAGGGGGCATTTTTTGTTGCTGTTTTGCATATTAACTTGCTGGTAAATTGCAGCTTAAGGTGTGCCTGGGCTGAACGAGGGAAGTTCTCCCACAAAGATTCGTAACAGCGACACTGTTTTTGAGCAGGTTCGGAAGAGAGATTTACGGCCTGGCAACAGCCAGTGACCTGGAAATTAAGTGCTTCCACCACGACAAGAGGACACAACAGTATTTTGGTTCTGAGTCTAAAGCCAATCATCGTCTAGAGTCTAGGGGGGTTATTGGCACCACCAAACTTGCTTTATCAATTTACAAAAACTTTATAGTCTTTAATGTCGTCTCGGTTGCATAGTTGGGTTCGTTCTCGACTCACGCTCGGGAATCCCGGGTTCCAATCCTCGTCGGGACAGAAATGGTGGTTGCATCCTGAGAAGGGTTTAAACCCAAGGTACGACCTTCGGGGGGTCGAACCGAAGGTCGGGACATCAGGATACTGGCAGCAGGGTTTTCATTTATACATGTTTCATTGAATATGAAACAAAGATCACATTTGGAGATTTCCAATTAAACCAAGATGCAAGAGCACTAGTCAGAGGGATATATATATATATATATATATATATATATATATATATATATATATATATACATATATATATATATATATATATATATATATATATATATATATATATATATATATATATATATATATATTTATGATCGATGTTCCCTTCGGGAATCTTAATTTTAAGATGAATAGGAAAACCAGGGATATACTGAACATCTTGTTTCAGATTCTTTACTTTAAAATGCATAACATTTCGAATACTTCTCGTATTCATCATCAGATCTAAAAGAAAAAAAAACAGAAATCACAATCAAATAACTGGTAACAAAGAACTCATACTGAATATAATTGCCTATCAAAGAAAGGAAAATGATTAAAAAACAAAACACTTAAGCGCACTTAAAGTGATCAATACAAATAAAACTTATTAACTGTCACATATATAAAAGCTACTTCAAAAACCCATTAAATTACAAGAGGAATTTTATAATTACTAAAACAAACCATACTATTAAACTTACGCAAAGTGATTAACAGGAGTAAAATTTGATAGCTAACACATAGATACTAAACACTATTACAAATATTCATATAATGACTACAAATCTACAAAAAATGTATATAAAATGCAAGCAGAATAAGCGACAATTATAAAGTACTAACCAAAATCTTATAAAAACTCAAATATTAAACAAATCTAAATACCAAAAAATGTATTATATATCCTAAATAAAAAGATTATACTAATGTACAATGTCAAGAATTAAAATAAGTAAGAAAAGGCAAAGACATGGTAAACTAAACAAAGTTATAATAAAATTAAACTGCCAGAATGAACTATAAATCAAATACAGGTCCTACTGTGCACTATACAGTGTACAATTGAACAGCCGAGAGGTTACTATTTAACAGAGGCCGCAGCTCCTTTATATATAAGGATTCCATTATTCTCAAATCTGACTGGCCATTCATACAAGTGTCCAGAATTTTAAAATCAGATTCCAGCAGAGAATGATTAAACTCATAACAATGGTTTCTAATCTCCGAAAATGCTGGTTTAGACAAAGGTAATCCAGTCCTAAAAGATACTCCCCGGTGCTCAAGTATCCTAATCTTAAAGTTCCGAATGGAAATCCCGATATATCCAGCATTACAGCTGGAACAATTATATA